TTATTGCACTGAATTAAATATTAAAATTTTTTTGTGATTGAATTTTATGAGTTTTAGGTTAAAATGCTATAATTGAAAACTCTTCTTATTTCAAAGGCAGAAGAGGAGAGAAACTATCATATCTTCTATCAGCTTTGTGCTTCAGCAAATTTACCTGAATTTAAAATGCTGCGATTAGGTATGAATATGGGGTTAAATTTATTGTCCTGGTATTGTTTTCTATTAATTCCCAAGTTCATAAACTTATTTGGTAAAAGGGAGATTATCTCATACTGAAATATTTATGAATAAAATGATAACAAGTCTGTAATTGGCTTCACGATAACGTAGGGATGGAGAAGGGGTGAATGACTGTGTAAATGAAGCAAGATTGGCCATGTGTTGATACCTGTTTGAGTATTGAGTTGGAATCAAACTCCAGACTCTGTACACTTGTCTGTGCTACCAGTGCCTTTACTTTAGAGTGGACATAAAGGTAGAAGTCAAAGCTTTTTCATAGACTGCAAATCTTTTTTTTCCTTAATTACAGGAAATGCAAATAACTTTCATTACACAAAGCAAGGTGGCAGTCCTGTGATTGAAGGAGTTGATGATACCAAGGAGATGGCACATACCAGGCAGGCCTGCACTTTGCTAGGTAATGTAATTTTATTTTTGAGCTCTTGTGAGCAGTATCTCTCTGATTTAAACAACCTTTGCTTGGAATATTGGCTTTGCTTTGTATTAGGCTGTGAGTGTTGTTGGGAGATTTAACATTCCTTATAAAACACCTTTGGACATCAAATGGGCACAGAGTTTCTTTTTGGGGTGGTGGGAATTATTCTAAAATCAGATTGTAGTAGTGGTTGCACAAGTAATCACTGAATTGCATACTTCAAACCGTGAATTTTATGGTATGTAAATTATCCCTCAATAAAGCTGTTTAAAGAACAATTTGGGGGCATTAAAGTAAGTAGGACGAACTGTAATTCTTTAAATTTTCACAAAATCTGAAACCTAAAGTAAATGTTACGGTTTCCCGAACAAGCTCACATTTTGTAGGGTTTTTGTTTTTGATTTTCTGGGGTCTTTTGTGGCTGAGAAATGTGGTGAGCTGGTGTAGTGACAAAACTTTGTATTATATGTAGATTATTCTAACTTTTTAAAAATGAGATGTCACTGTCTTGTTTCTGAGATTTAAAAAATGAGGTCTACATGTGAGTAAATTAATCTTTAGAACTCTAATGTACAGCTTTAAGTCGTCATTATTTATTTTAAAGACCTCAGAATATTAATAACTAAATCATGTATTGGTATTTTGAGGAATACCATGAGGTGAACTAACTGATTTAAAAGCATTGTTAATCAGAGTATGGTACAGAACCATAGTGAAGCTTTCAAAAATTCAGAAACTCAAACCTTATCTCAGACCTACTGAATCAGAATCTGTATGTTAACAAGATCCATTGGTGATTCATATGCATATTTAAGTTTGAAAAATACCGCTTTACTTCTAGGGCTGAATATATTTGTAAATAGAAAATGGCAAATTAATAAAAGCCATAATGTAGGTGTTAATGAAAGCATCCATTATGAGATCAACTCTCAATTACCTCGTATATGATTATATACTTGGAAATAATTTTACTACTTTTACTTCCATATAATTATATCTAATGTTCAGGAAATTCTTACCTTATTGAAGAATGAAGCCAGATCAGATAAAAAAAACCAAGGGCTGTAACAGCTGTCTCATCCTGCCTCCTCCTTCAGTTCCTGCTCTAATGCTGCATTTAGATATTCTCTCATCAGGCTGGGAGACAGCACCAACCTGAACACTTCTAATCTTGGGATTTCTTTGACTTATACTTGGTCTGTAGTTAGAAGTAATTAAATAATATGAATCAAAACAGCCTTATTGGGCTGCAAATTGCATTTGGAGTAGAAAAGATAATAATGTTAATAAAATACTTAATTCCAGTGTATGATGGTGATAATTTGTTTAGCATTTACCACATGTCCCCTAGTGTGTTAAGTATACTACATGACTACTTGAATTTTCTCATTTAATGTTCACAGACACCCTTTGAGATACTCACTACTATTCCCATATCTCAAATGAGAAAACAGAAACATAGAAGGGTGATAGTACCTGCCCATGTGAGATGGCAGGTCAGGAGCAAAGCCAGGCCTTGAGCCCAGTCGTTGTTCCACAGCCTGTGCTCTCAACCATGCTGCTGAACTGTGATACGTGTTAATGTCAGTAAAGGTGAAAGTGTTGTTAATGATGACATGTTACTATCTGCACATCTGGCAATATTCAAGAGTTAAAAATAGGCTTAAAATTGTCTGTTGTAATGGTTTGTAATCACTTGTTCATTTACTCTGCTGTTTCAGGAATTAGTGAGTCTTATCAGATGGGAATTTTCCGAATACTTGCTGGCATCCTTCACTTAGGCAATGTTGCATTTACATCTCGGGATTCAGACAGCTGCACAATACCTGTAAGTTCAGAATATGCTTAGTGTGGTAGCGGTTTATTTGTGTTTCAGTTTTGTTGATTCTTTATGGAAGCAGTATATTTGAAGTATCTCTATTAATATTATCAGAGAGATAATTGTTAGAAGGATAAATTACTCCAAGTAGAATCTGGAACTGAAAATAAAGAAATATGGTTGCTAATCCCTGGTGCACAGTGATTGTGTGTGTTAGGGATAGGAGAAGAGAGAACTTGGATACATTTCTGGTCCATATGAACAGAGGTGGGAAGTATTAGATGTGAAAGTTGGATTGGGGCCATCTAAAGAGAAGGGTTTATTTGGCCTATGGCACAAGTACCAATAATTGAAAATTTTGTGTCTTCAGCTGTGGAATTGTAATACGGTTTAAAAGTTATTGAGGAAACTATTAGTAGTAGTTACTCCTGGGAAAATGAACTAGATGGCTGGGGGATAGGGTGTCTTCACGAGGATTTGCATATTCTTCCCCACATAGTGATAACTGCATCTGAGAATTAAAACCCAATTCCATATGTGAAAACAATTGTTTAAATTGTAACAAAATCTGACAGTCTGATTATCCTCATTGGGCATTTATGATTTGCTGATCACCACCATCAAATCTCTCTCTCTCTCTCTCTCACACACACACACACACACACACTATATTTTTAGGTGTTTTTTAATTTTATTAAAATGGAGGGAGTTTTGATATAATTAATTGTTATTTCATCCTGCTTTCTCAAGATTGTGATAGGAAACAATGTTAAGATTTATGTTTCACTGTTTAGATACCCAAGTTGATATTAGCAAAACTATGTGTAAATTAATTCATGTGATTTAGACTTTAGTTTTGAAATATATGTTTCAGTGTCTCTGCCTGGATCCGATCCCAGCTTTACTGTTTACTCACACTAGGTTTTTTGGTGAGTTACTTAGCTTCTCTGAGCCGTCGTTGCCTCATCTGTAAAATGAGACATTCTTTTCCAGCGATTTTTGACTAGGTACTCTGATTGATCTTCATACTGGATAAATTATGTGCATATTTTTTAAAGATTTCATTTTTAAGTGGTCTCTACACCCAGTGTGGGGCTTGAACTCACAACCCCTAGCCAGATCAGGGATTTCATGCTCCATTAACTAACCCAGCCAGGATAAATTATATATTTTTTAAAAATTTAGTAAATATGTAAAAACTACTCAGATGTCAGAAATTAAGTGAAAATAGGAACTATGAGAAAGGAGAACCCTGAAGTTAGGACTCGCCGTAAGGTATTTGCTGAACCCAGGGACCTTGAGCTTTTGTTTTCGTAGCCAAGTTGAGTTCAGAAGACAAAACACAAAGACTAGGACTCATATAAACAGGGGAACTCCTGACTAAAGCTGAGATCCTAAATGAGAAACTAGTAATAAGCTTGCCCACCACCTATTCCAAGAGTACAAAGAAAAGGTAACTGGTTTGAGCAAGCCTTGGTGCTAAGTGAAGGAGGAGAAATAGTTCCCTAAAGATTTGCAACAATGAACTGACCCTCACACTTCCTTCCAGACTGATTTTGTAATTCCTAGATGGTTCCAGAAAGCTAAACACAGAAAACTTAGCTTAAATTGGTCTTGGACTGATGGTGCCTTAGATGGCTGACAGAAGCACATGCAAGTCTACTTTGGATGATCCACCTTCAAACCAGGCCTCAGTGGAGTCCTCTGAGAAAAGTTACAAGAAATATTGGCTCACAGTCAAAAATCACAAATTCCACAAGGAAACAAAATAGAAGGAGCTAGGTGAAACAACAGATAAGAGTCAGACCTATTTGGAATGCTGAAAGTAATTAATAGCAAATTTGACACAACCGAGGAGAGAACTGATGAGCTAGAAGAGACATGTAAAGAAATTTTCCAGAATGCATGACAGGACTCAGAGATGGAGCACTTAAAACAGGAGAGATGAAGGATAGAGTATTAACATCTAATTTTAATCTAATGAGAGTTCCTAGAGGAAAAAAAAAGAATGAGGCAGATATAATACTTGAAGAGATAATTACTAATAAGTTTCAGAAATTGTGAAAATGACACTAAACCTCAGATTTGGAAAGTCTAAAAAAATCCCAATTAGAAGAAATTAAAAAAAAGTCACCCCTAGGCTCTCCATAATGACACCAAAGGTAGAGAGAAAAATTTTTTCTTTTTAAATTTTTCAGTGTTTATTTCTTTTTGAGAGAGAGAGAGAGAGAGAGAGAGAGAGAGAGAGAGAGAGAGAGCACACAAGTGGAGGAGGGGCAGAGAGAGAGAGGGAGTAAGAATCCGAAGCGGACTCCAGGGTCAGAGCTGTCAGCACAGAGCCCCATGTGGGGCTCGAACCCATGAACTGTGAGATCATGACCTGAGCCAAAGTCGGACCCTTAACCGACTGAGCCACCCAGGTGCCCCAAGAAAAATCTTAAAATAGGAAGAGATAAGACATACTACTTTTGAAGAAATAGCAGTTAAACCCATAGCTCACTTCTTAACTAGAGCAATAAGAGCCGAAACAGTGTTACTGTCTTCAGTGTTCTAGAGTAACTATTAACTTAATTTGTGTATCCAGTAAAAATATCTTTCCAGGATGATGGAAAGAAAGAAGTATTTTCAGACAAATAGAAATTGGGAGATTTTGTCACCAACAGCGTATTCACTAAAGGAAATATTGAAGGATGTGGTTTAAGCAGAAGGAAAGTGATCCCAAGTAGAAGATCTAAAGTCAGAGAATAAATAATGGATCAATAAACTAGAAAAGCATGTGCAAATGTAGGTAAAATTTCATTAATTAAACAGTAATAATAATGAATAGTGTATTGGGCTGGAAAAGACAGAACTCCCCACAAAATACTTAATAGTTACAAAGGGAATGATAGCTCTCTTTACAGTGGAGAAACTTGGCAGACATTTCCTTAATCTCCTGACCACAGTTGACAAGACCAGTAATGAGACCAAACAATATCATTTAACTTATTTTTTTTAATTCTTTTTGTTGTTGTTGTCATTTGCTTTTAAAAATCCTCTAAAGGTATTTCTTTATTTCTCTGGTGTGTAGTTTATAGTGAACATGTTTTTAAGTTTTTTATCTTAATTCCAGTATAGTTAACATACAGTTTTATATTAGTTTCAGGTATACAATATAGTGATTCAACACCTCCATATGACACCTAGTGCTCATCACAAGTGCACTCCTTAACTCCCATCACTTATTTCACCCATCCCCCCATCCACCTCCCCTCTGATAATCAGTTTGTTCTGGCTTGTTTCTGTCTCTCTTTTTTTCCTTTATTTGTTGTTTCTTAAATTCCACATAGGAGTAAAATCATGTGGTATTTGTCTTTTTCTGACTGACTTATTTTGCTTAGTGTTATACTCGGTAGCTCCATCCATGTTGTTGCAAATTGCAAGATTTCATTCTTTTTCATGGCTGAATAATATTGTGTGTGTGTGTGTGGGGGGGGCACATGTTCCTTATCCGTTCATTAGTTGATGGACACTTGGGCTGTTTGCATAGTTTTGGTATTGTAAATAATACTGCAGTAAACATAGAGGTGCATGTATCCCTTCAAATTAGTGTTTTTGTATTTTTTTTGGTAAATAGTAGTGCAATTGCTTGATCATAGGGTAGTTCTATTTTTAACTATTGAGGAACCTCAATACTGTCTTCCACAGTGGCTGCACCAGTTTTCATTCCTACCAGCAATGCATAAGGGTTCATTTTTCTCCACATCCTTGCCAACACTTGTTGTTTCTTCTATTTTTGATTTATAGCCATTCTGACAGGTATGAGGTGATATCTCATTATAGTTTTGATTTGCATTTCCCTACTGATGAGTGATAATGAGCATCTTTTCATGTGCCTATTGGCCATCTGGATGTCTTCTTTGGAAAAATGTCTGTTCAGTATCATATAACTTCTGATATGGTGCACTGAGAGGGTAGCATCACTTCTCTGGTATTCCTGCCAAGAAGGCATGACCCAAATCTAATCATGAGGCAGCATCATACAGACCCACATTGAGGGATATACTATTCAAAAATGTCAAGGTCACAAATGAAAGACAGAAAGAAGAACAAAGTCCTGTTCAGATTAAAGGAGGCTAATGAAACGTGGCAACCAAATTCAGTGTGTGAACTTAGACTGGATCTTAGACTGTAAAAATATCTCCCCCACCCCTGCATAGAGATTGATTAGATCAATCAGGGAGAAATGAATTAGATCTATAGGTTAGATAATAGGGCTCCATCATTGCTAATTTTCAATTTTTTTTCCTGATACCATAGTTATATAAGATAATATCTTTGGTTTTTAGGAAATGCATACTGAAATATTTAGTACTAAAATAGCATCATGGTTGCAACTTGCTCTCAAAGGTTCTGAAAAATTAATGTGTATGTACATGTATATAAGAGAGGATGATACAAATGTGGTAAAATATTACTGTTTAGGGAATCTGGGTGAAGGTAATTCTTCGTACCACTGGTAACTTTTCTGTTAGTCTAAAATTAGTTCAGAACAGGGGGATGGGCACTTGTTGGGATGAGCACTGGGTGTTGTATGGAAACCAATTTGACAATAAATTATATTAGAAAAATAAAAAATAAAACCAGGAATCCAGGAATAAAATAAATAAATTAAAATAAATAAAACCAGTTCAGAACAAAAAGTTAAAAAAATAAAATGAATCACCAGCCCCTACTCCCCTCAAAAACCTACAACTGAAGTGCTAGATAACAATAACTGGTTTAAGAATTCAGCTATATACTTTTGAAATAAGCATTCCTAAAACATAAAGGTACAGAAAGTTTGAAAATTAAAAGTTTAGAAAAGACACGCCATAATAACTAGGGAAAAATGACAGAGCCTGTATCAATATGGACAAAATAGACTTTGTCAAAAAGCACTAGAGATAGAGTACTATGTAATGATAGAGATTTTATTCAACAGGAAGATGTAATGGTTCCAAACTTACATGTACTTAAAGGCACAGCCTTAAAATATGTAAAGCAAAAATCAACAGAAACCACAAGAAGAAATAGACATATCTATCATAGTGATAGATTTTTGACTTCTCTCAATTATTAGAGAATACAAAGAGAAGAGACAGATGTAGAAGGCCAAAAATTAGTAAAACAGAAAATTTGAACAAAGCAGTTTATAGCCTTGATCTAATATTATGGTATAGAATATGTTCAGATAGTACTGATCCAATTCTAAATGTTGTCAAATCATTCATATTTATATGAATTAAATTAGCTGCTTAGTTAAGGGAGTTGTAGCATGCTGTTGGTATTGGTGCTAATTTGTATATGAATTGATGGCTTGGGAGGAGGGAGATGAAAGATGGAAAGGACTGCTTCAGTGGGAAGGGTCAGGAGGTGAGGGTGTCAGGACACCCAGGTTCTTTTTTTTTTTTTTTTTTTTTTCAATATACGAAGTTTATTGTCAAATTGGTTCCACTCTGACACCCAGTGCTCATCCCAAGGTGCCCTCAATACCCATCACCCACACCCTCCCTCCCCCCATCAACCCTCAGTTTGTTCTCACTTTTTAAGAGTCTCTTATGCTTTGGCTCTCTTCCACTCTAACCTCTTTTTTTTTTTTTTTTCCTTCCACTCCCCCATGGGTTTCTGTTAAGTTTCTCAGGATCCACATAAGAGTGAAACCATATGGTATCTCTGTCTTTCTCTGTTTGGCTTATTTCACTTGGCACCAACAGTCTCCAGTTCCATCCATGTTGCTACAAAGGGCCATATTTCATTCTTTCTCATTGCCACGTAGTACTCCATTGTGTATGTAAACCACAATTTCTTTATCCATTCATCAGTTGATGGACATTTAGGCTCTTTCATAATTTGTGTTGAGTACTTTGCTATAAACATTGAGGTACAAGTGCCCCTCAGCACTCTGTAGCTCACCTTGGGTAAATTCTAACAGTGCTATTGCCTTGGGTCCATAGAATTTGGAGTCTATTTTTAATTTTTTGAGGAATCTCCACACTGTTTTCCAGAGAGGCTGCACCAGTTTGCATTCCCACCAGCAGTGCAAGAGGGTTCAGGACACCCAGGTTCTAATAACAACCCTGTTATAAATTGGCCACGCGATGTTTGACAAGCTGTCCTCTTGGATTTCAGTTAAAAGATAGCAAAGTTCATCCTGCCTATTCTCCGAGAATGTCATCGGATTCAGTTGAAACATTCTAGTGAAGATGTTAAAAAATATAATGCACTCATAAGGATTAAATTAAACAAGTATTTATTGAATGTCTACTCAATGCAAGGCCTACAGAAGACATTGTAGGGGATAGGGACATTTAAGTCATTAAAGAGATTCCAGTCTGAGAAGTCATGCAAGTTACCTGTTTCAAACCCTTCAATAGTTTCCCTTTGCTCTCAGGATAAAGACCAGCCATGGTGTAGCCTTTGCCTGTCTCTCTGGTTTCAACTCAGACATTTTCTCCCTCATTCAGCTTCATTCTCTCATACTGCTAGTTTCTCTCCGACCACAGGATTTGTATACCAGCTGTTCCCTCAGCTTGAAGACCCTTTCTTCACCCTTTCACTGAGTCACTGCCTTCCTTCCCATCCTTCAGATCTCAACTCTGTTTCTCAAGGCAACAGGCCCCTGCCTCTTGAATAGGGCATGCTTTTTTTTTACATGGAATCATAGTATAGTGCCCTTGTTCTTTGCAGTGATTTTATGTTTTAGGGAGCAATCATTTGATTAATATCCATATCCCTTAGTGACTGACAATAGGGGCCATGTCTGGTTTTATTTACTGGCATATCGTCGGCACTCAGTAAATATTTGTTGACAGGCTGACAGATCTTCTGATCAACTGACTGAATGAAGGTGCCTAAAGACAGTTACAAACAAATGCTGTGAAGAGACAAAGGAAGAGATAGTTTGTGAAATGAGTCCTAAAATAGACTGTAAAATGCTGCCTAGATGCTGGTTTGATTGATGATTGTGATTATCACTGATCAGCTTCAAGTGATCTGGACATTCATTATAACAAAGAAGTTACTGGGTTTTTTTTTTTGTTTTTGTGGTTCTTTTTTGTTTGTTTTTTGTTTTGTTTTACCTCATTTTAGTGTTTTCTAGTAAATTCTATTGGAAATAACCCACTCTCTTTTGTCAGCCCAAGCATGAACCTCTCAGCATCTTCTGTGACCTTATGGGTGTGGACTATGAAGAGATGTGTCACTGGCTCTGCCATCGGAAACTGGCTACCACCACGGAGACATACATCAAACCCATATCCAAGCTGCAGGCCACAAATGCCCGTGATGCTTTGGCCAAGCACATTTATGCCAAGCTCTTTAACTGGATTGTAGATCATGTCAATCAAGCCCTCCATTCTGCTGTCAAACAGCACTCTTTTATTGGAGTGCTGGACATATATGGGTAAGTATATTTGGCTTAGCGGTCTGCCACAGACATTTCTTTCTAGAGATTACCTAGTAACTCTAAGTGGCTATTAGATTCTGTCTCCTACTGGTAAGGAGAAAAGAACATTAGAAGAGCATTTCTAAAAATCTTATTTCATTTGGTAATTTGCCTTCCTTCTCTGGGTACCATCTTTTAACTGTTAAAACTTTTCCTGTATACTTGTGCTTTTTGATGCCTAATATTTTTATTATCTTGTGTAGTTTTGCAAAAGAACCTATGAGATCTCTATTCCCATTTCCCCTTTCTTATGTGAGTGTGAATCTGTAAAGTGACAGGAGCAATTGTTTTGTCATAATTCTGATTGTTCCCCCACTTGGGGATGAATTAGCCCTCAAAAACTCAAACTGTTGAACACCTCTGCATGCTGGACCCTTTAAAAAAAATCTCTCTGCTACATGGCTGATGCTTGTCTGCTGGGTACAGAGTCCATATTACTGACTTATAGATCTTTATCTTCACTGATGTGGAAAGAAAGTTTTAAATGTTAGAAAATTTCCCATTTCTTTCTTGCTAATGTGTATATTTTAAATAGTTTAAAAAACTATTTGTTTCTTTTTCTCTCTTCACATAATATTTTTGGTTTTACAGATTTGAAACATTTGAAATAAATAGTTTTGAACAGTTTTGCATAAATTATGCAAATGAAAAACTACAGCAACAATTCAATATGGTAAGAATTTTCTTTTTTAACTAATATTCTACTATAAATTATTCTTTTGAATTTTACTCTGTCTTTAAAGTCTGGTTTCTGAAGTGAAGTTGTAAATTACAATTATTATCTGGGGTTTAGAACAGCTGAGGTGATGAGGAACTTATGATTAATAAGTAAGTGCAACACCAGAAATATGTTTATGGCCCAGATAGGATTCAAGGTGATCTTTATATTATAGTCTGAGTATAGTGAAAATTTGGTCAAAATAAATTGAGTGAGGTATGCAGGAAGTATGTTAGGTAGTAACATAGGCAGTATGAAGTTCTGAGCCCAGGATATCCTTCAGTGTGTTGTTCCTATGGAGTTAGGACTATCTTAACTCTTACTTGCTGTGTCAGCAAAATGCCAGAATAAAAAATCAGAATACATTCTCTTTTGTACATATTTTTTTACATATGCTGTTTTACATATTCTCTTCAGCAGTCTGAGCCATTCACCAGGACAATGGCAATGGGAATATTTTGAGAGAGGCTCTTGTGGAGTAGTAATGTCAAATATCTTCAAGCATTATCATGGTATTGGGGGATTTCAAGGTATTTAAAAATGAGGGACGGTAGATTATAATAGTGAAGAGCAAAAAGTAGACCCCCAAAAGTAAACTGCTTGCATTGGAATCCCCTTCTCTGTTGATTACTCAAGGGACCTTGGGCAGGTTAATTGACCTTCCTGGGCCTTAGTCTTCTCATATATATAATGGGGATGATGATCATACTTACTATCATGGTTGTATAGATTAAATGAGTTAGAATATGTAAAGTGCTAAGCAGATGCAAGGCACAGTTCTAAGAGCAAGATTAGGGATGGTTATTAGTACTGATGAAAGAGGATATTAAAAATGGGCCACCTATAGACATTGAAGATGGGAAAGAAGAGAGCTGAATGACAGGAAAAGAGCCTTTGGTATCCTTATCTTATAAAGAGAGAGGTCAAGTGGTATGGTCTATAGTTGATGAGGACAAAAAATAGAAGTTTAAAGGTATTATTTTAAATTACAAAATTAATAAAAATCAAAAGAAGATCTAAAGGTAGTAATATTTGGAGGACAGGAGAGGAGCAGTGGAGAGGTGATACATATGAATTTAGCCTCATCTGTCTCATCAAGAGATCAGTAGATGATTTTTCCAATGAATAAATAAAAAAATAGCAGATAAACATATTCTTTAGAGGTTAAGTACCAGAAGAAACAGCTAAGGTGTTGTCGAGTCAGTCGATTCTTGTGCCAGATGCACCAAAGAATTAGAGACCTGAGACCAGAATGGGGAGGTAGAGTTTATTGAGTAGATAACTACAGTACACTTTGAAGAGAGAAAGTGGGCCACTGCCAGAGCAACAGTAGCAATGGCCCTGACAAGCTCCAGCTGCATCCTTTTAAGTCTGCCTGTGTACATGTAAATTTGACTTTGACGTTTTTGATGGACAACCGGTGGTTTATATAACATTCTGGCATCTGCGCATGTGTCTACCCATGATGCCTTCTAATTTTTTCTGTATTATATATTTATTAGTTTCCAATGGGCTTTGTTGTGACTTTGTGTAACCTAAGGGCAAGTTGCATCTTTTGTGTGCATGCTCCGTTCTTGAAAGTCCCCTTGTGGCTTTTGAGCCCGCTCTGTGGCTAGGACTTTCCTGTTCTGTTACCCCTTAGAGGTGGCTCTGAAGGTAGCTCTTAACCCTCTGACGTGGCTCTGAGCCTGTGGCTAGCATCTGCTATATTTCTTCTCACTCATGCCTGCGTAACTGCTTAACGAAAGGAATTAAAAATGGTTTTCACCAGAGAGTGAGACTGAGTTGGGGAGGGATGGGACAAGGGATTGTTGCTTGTTATCACCAAACCTTTAGAATGTTTGATTTTTTAAAAAAATAGTGCATATGCTCTGATAAAAATTTGGACCATCTTTATTTAGCAAATTAAGCTACTTGGCACAAGGAAATAATGCAGAAGTGATCTTCAAACCTTAGGCTATGACTATTTCCATAAGAATATAATTGGTGTGTTTTTCATCTCTGCATAAGGATCATTAATAAAAACCTACCAGAGACTAATTATTCTGAGTTTCTTCATACTTTGTTTTGTTTTGTTTTGTTTTTTTAGTTTCTTAATACTTTAATCAGAGCCACAGCCTCTGCTCTTTCCTAGTATGTTTTGGCACAACGTGACTAGAAATACAAAGAACCAACACCGGCCTTCATTAGGGACTGGCTAGTTTGTCTATTTCTCAAGGATGCCCTGTCTCTCTCTGCATGTGTGTTTCTGATTCTCTTGTTTCTCTTTCTCTTTCCCTCTGTCTCTATTGATCTGTTTCTCCTTCTTCTCTCTCTGTTTCTCTCCCTCCCTCCCTCTCTCTCTCTCTCTCTCTGTCTCTCTCTCTCATACACACACACACACACCCCATGCTGCATCTTAGCTTCTCTCTGCACAGCTGCTCCACTCCCTCTTACTATCAGATGGCATATTCTTCCCTTCTGTTCTGTATATATTTCCTCCCCACTTACTTCAAGCTTCCTGTGAATCTACCAGTGGTTGTATTGCTCCTCTCATCCTCTTAACTCGCTTAGTTCCTGTTCATCTTGACTTCTTTCAGCCTCAGCTTACACTGTTAATTGCCTGCTTCCCAGTTCTTAACAGCTGAGGAAGAGATTCTGATTAACTTTGTTCATTTCTTCTTCAGAGATCTCTAGCAATTAACCAGCTGTGACTAGGAACTTGGGGTCTCACAGTGAAGAACTTGTCTGCTTCGGGCCACTCCCTTGGCAGGGATTATGGGTGGGGCACTGGGTGTGAGAAAGACGGTGTTTGGCATGTTTAGTGCTTGGAGGCATTACTTTTTGACCAAGGATCTCTCGCCATGTTGAACCTCATGCCAACATTATCTTTTTGACAACTAAGTATCTAAAATTTTTGAGGCCTCATGGACTTTTCCAAATTAGGCAGAGAGATATGGAAGAGAAACAAGCTCCATTTAAAATCTGGAGCACTGTTTCTGTTGTCATTGTGGAGACTGCATATACATTATTGAATTAAAAAAAGACATGGCTCATTGTTTTGGGAAATATTGGTACCATCAGTCAGGGTATCCTGCTGACACCTGGTGCCCCATTTGCCTTCTCATTCATCAAAAGAACAGAAGAAATTTACTTTCTGATTAACATGACATAAATATTCCTATGGGTGTTTGTTTTTTTGATTACTAAAGCTTATTGCAGCTGGTAAATGCTGCAGGTGAGCCAGGAAGGGCATTATAACAAGTACAGAATAAAGTGAAAAAATTCCAGGTGCATAAGGAGAATATGTTTGAGAAATCAGAGTTACACCTAAGTTTCATGGGGTTTGAGGTCCTAGAAAATATGTTGTATGGACATAGCCACAGAGGGCTATTCTTTCCAGAAAAAAACATCAAGATGTACGAGAGAACAAGGGACACAAAAGAGACAAAGGAAAGCAGAAACCCCCAACAACGAATGAGTCAAGGCTATTAACATCTTAGAAAGACTAGAAATTGTGGGTTGCTGCATTGGGCAGCCTGAAGCAAGAACTGTACCAGTGGTTGGCTTGCCCTTCTGCCTAGACTAACTTAACTACCATTCATCTGCAGAGCTCATGTCACACAGCAGCTTTTCCTCAGGAAAGCATTCCCTCCCCTCTCCTGTGTTCCCCCCACCCCCACCCTGTGTCCAAACTACATGAGGACTCTTGCTCCCTTATTTTGAATTATTTTCCTTTGTAACACTACAGTTTCTGATCCCATGTGATTATTTGATTTCTGTCTGATTTTCCACTAGTCTGCAAACTCTGTGAGGGCAGAACCCGTGTCTACTTTGTTAATGGTATGTGGTAATTGCACATAGAGAAGGTGGATACTTATTTTTGTCTAAACGAGTGAATGAAGATCAGCAGTGGTGAGGTTGGTGGCCAATGCCTTTAGCAGAAACAGTGGTACCTTGCTACTTGTTGCAGCTGCTTGCAGCAATGGATGTAGAATCTGGAAAAGTGAGCTGTAGATTCCCTGATGTGGAAAATAATGGAGGCAGACACAAAAGACTGTTAGCTAATTCTGAGGCACATGAAATTCAATATCACCGTCCCTTAAGAGCATTACTTCCCCATGCTGTAAGCATCGCCCAGTGTGGTTTAGTAGTCTAAGGGGCATCTGCTCTGCGTGGTTGTTCTTTTTTTTTTATTTTTTAAAAAAAAATTTTTTTTTTTTCAACGTTTATTTTTATTTTTGGGACAGAGAGAGACAGAGCATGAACGGGGGAGGAGCAGAGAGAGAGGGAGACACAGAATCGGAAACAGGCTCCAGGCTCTGAGCCATCAGCCCGGAGCCTGACGCGGGGCTCCAACTCACGGACCGCGAGATCGTGACCTGGCTGAAGTCGGACGCTTAACCGACTGCGCCACCCAGGCGCCCCTCTGCGTGGTTGTTCAAGCCAGCTACGGCATTGTTAGAAGCACTGTGCAATAATTTGAGGCCAAAAAGTGTATTGTGCAGTGTTGGATGTATACATATAAAAAATAAATTAAAAAGACTGCTACATTTGTCAGCTATTTAATACATCCACATATCTAGATTTACTTGTTCACCAAGAATCGTTTACAGCTGAAATTTTACCGTCTCTCATTTTTATTTGCTTCTTATTATTGTTCTCTGTATGTAAATCTTGTTTCTCCCATGAAATTATTATTGTTGGAAGCCATGGACTGTCTCAAATTGTCAGATTTCCTCTTAGAGTGTTTTCTATAAATGTTTTTTCTTGACTAACATTATTTATAATGATTCGGTAATACCAGTTTTTCTTTTTCATTTCAGCATGTCTTCAAATTAGAACAAGAAGAATATATGAAGGAACAAATTCCATGGACACTCATAGATTTTTATGATAATCAACCTTGCATTAATCTTATAGAATCTAAACTAGGTATTCTAGATTTGCTGGATGAGGAATGCAAGGTAAATATGGTTTTCTGATGTACCCAGTCTATCAGAAGAGGTATGTCTTTGAAGTTAAATGAGTTTAAGCAGAGATTCATTAGTATACCATGAGGTGCCACCGTGGCAAGTGGGGGAGGGGGCTGTCACCCTAGCTTGCATTTTGAAGAGTCACTAGGCCCAAATGGTTCTAACTACAATTGAAACTTGGAGAATTTCCTTTCTCTTTTCAGCTGCTTCTAAGTTGTGTGAAAAATTAACATTAGACATAACTACTACCCAGTGTTAGCCACTTCTGTTTTCAGTATGCTTATATTTGGTATTTTTGTTCAGCGGTATGACATATTTAAAGAAATGCAAGAAATTGTACAAAAGATATTCTGAATAATAGTCCTAAATATCTGTGATTTAAAAATTGACTGCTTATTCTTTATTACTGATAGATATGGTAGAAAGGGAGTTTTAGCTTTAATATTTATAGACACAATATACTGGGAAAATAATGGATCTCCAGCTTTACTACTAACTGAGTGATCTTAGACAAATAACCTATTCTTTCTCTTAACTCCTCTGTAGTTTGTATGCCATAAGTTACAACTTACCATAGATTGGTTCTCCTAAGCATCCAGATTTCCTACAACATTAAGAATGAATATGATGCTCAGTTTCACTTGAAATTTAAAAAATGCAAATGAAAACAAAAATGGGATACTGCTTTTTACCTATAAGATAGGCGAGTTTATTTTTTATTTACTTATTTTTTTAACGTTTATTTATTTTTGAGACAGAGAGAGACAGAGCATGAATGGGGGAGGGTCAGAGAGAGAGGGAGACACAGAATCTGAAACAGGCTCCAGGCTCTGAGCAGTCAGCATAGAGCCCGACGCTGGGCTCAAACTCACGGACTGCGAGCTCATGACCTGAGCCGAAGTCAGACACTTAACCAACTGAGCCACCCAGGCGCCCCAAGATAGGCGAGTTTAAATTTGATAATACCTTTCACTTGATAATACCAAATGAATGTTTATTGCATCTATACTCTTGAGGAAGGGCACGAGTTAATACAACATAGTTTTGAGGAAAGTTGACAATATTTATCAAAACTATAAGCACATGTACCTTTTGACTCAACAGTGGAACTGTTGGGAGTTCACACTATGAGTATGCTTGCAAAAGTATCGAAGGTATACGTGTGAAAGAAGTAATGGTGACCATGTTATAATAAAAAAAAGAAAGAATAACAACCTGGTGGCCATAAATACAAGAATGCTATCATTAAGAAAAAAATGCAAGGAGCTTATAGAATGATCCTATTTGTGTGCATGCCTTTAGTCAGAAAGAAAAAAGTTGGTGCAAATGATGAGAGATCACTCTTCATTTTATACCTTTCTGAATTATATAAATATTTCACTCTGTGCAGCTGTTAAGAACTTAAAAAAAATACATGATATGGGGCACCTGTCAGGCTCAGTCCGTAGAGCACGTGACTCTTGATCTCGGGGTCATGAGTTCAAGCCCCACGTTGGGCGTATAGCTTACTTAAAAAAATACGTGAAATCATAGTAGTTCATCTTTTATTTGTCAGGCTTTTGTTGTGTTAAAAACAGATAGAATATTTATTTGATTATTCCTGGTATAGGCAGATGGAGTTGCCCAAAGATTGGGCTGACTCACCCGTGGGAAGGTCTCAATCAATGCTTTTCATTAGTAATTGATTTTGGCATCTAAATGAAAAATGTGGAAGGAATGAGTTCCTAATTGAATATAAAAGTTGTTGGAAAAGCAAAAAAATGGTCTCTTGGTTAATGCATGAGAAGAATCTCATAACAATATTCACCTTGGCTGTTGTTGGTTTTCTTTCTTCTTAACTCCTCTAAATGTAGATGCCTAAAGGTACAGATGACACTTGGGCCCAAAAATTGTACAACACACATTTGAACAAATGTGCACTCTTTGAAAAGCCCCGTCTGTCAAACAAAGCTTTCATCATCCAACATTTTGCTGACAAAGTAAGGAAGCTTTATTATCTTTTTTCTTTCTGAATACTTAAGTTCAAAGAGGAAAAAAATCAATAGTCAAGCGATACCAATTTTTTCTTTGCTGAAGTTTGCGTTCTTTAGGACCTTTAGGAAATGTGTTGCTTTGTCAGTTTTCCCTTCCTTCAACCTAGATGGAATTATATCATGAAATAAATATGAGTCTACAATCCTGTATATTTCTGCAAACCAAGGAACTCTGAAAGTTAAAAAATCTTTTCATCATTTATTTCTTGGCTAAACCTGATCTGTGACCTGAACTAACATGAGGTTATATATAGTAGTTATTTATCCCAGTAAGGCTGGATATTTATGTACTTCAATGTAGAAATGTTAATGTGTTTGATTACAGATTGCTGCCTCAGATTGCTGAAAAATTTGGAGGGGTCAGAATAGATCCTGTGGACTTGTGTCCCCCTCTGTGTTTGAGTCAGTTGGTCCTTGCTGACAGTGCACGCAGACTCGCTGCTTCACAAGTTCAGTAGTGTACCTAGAAAATCAAGAGCCATGAGACTAATTTATATTTCAAGGAAGTGTAAATAGGCATTGGGGGTAAGCTCTCTGGGGTCTCCTTCAGGAATTGAAGACCTTCTGAATCTCCTTAATCCTCTCTGGAAGCCTAAGAATGTGACTTTAGGTCACCTAAGGGCTTTGCGGTATTGGCTGGGGAGCACCCTGAGTGGTAGATGCCTGAAGTCGTTGGCGTTTTGGAAGCAGGAACAGTCCCTTCTCGAGTAGTTCCACTTACCAGTCACATCGTATTTACCCAGCCTCCCCCTCAGCTCTCAGTCAGGCAGCCATTTGTTCCTTCTGATCTCTCTCCCAATTTAATCTCTTCTCTCCCAAGAGGACTGCCCTTCCTGGATGGTGATCTCAGTCATAAGAAAATACATTGGGTTAGCCTTGGAAGAGCTCTTTTCAGCCAGCATGGGAGATGAGAGTCAACTTCTTCTGAGTCTCATTACCCATGAATTGGGAAGATCTATTAGACCACAATTAATCAGTACTACCACTGTTCCCTAGGAAAAACAGTATTTGAGGAGTTTTACTCTAGAGTTCATGTACTTCTTCCCAAGAATGGTACTGATTTCTTAGAATAAAACCGATTCCAGTTTGCTGAGAGCCAGTCATATAGCCTGAGCTAAAAAACATTTTTGTTGTCGATGACAATAATATCTGTTCAAAAGTTCTGTTAAGGAGATTTTGCATGTGTTTTCAGGTGGAATACCAGTGTGAAGGCTTTCTGGAAAAGAATAAAGACACTGTTTTTGAAGAACAAATTAAAGTTCTGAAATCAAGCAAGGTAATTATGTATATACATGTAACTATGTATATACTGTCTCTAATCGCTAATAATCTTAAAGTGTTAAGTAATAAAACATTAGGTTTTTATTTTTTTAAGTTTATTTTTTTAATTTATTTTGGGAGAGAGGTAGAGAGCAAACAGGGGAGGGGCAGAGAGCAAGGGAGACAGAATCTCAAGCAGGCTTCCCGCTTGCAGTGCAGAGCTCGATGTGGGCCTCAGACTCACAAACCATGAGATCATGACCTGAGCCAAAATTGAGAGTCGGATATTTAACTGAGCCACCTAGGCGCCCTGAAACATTAGCCTTTTAACAATAATGATGATTTTTCTAACAGAATCAGCTTTACTGTGAGTTTTTAATTTATCAAATACATAACACTTAGTGTGTGTCAGGTCTTGTTTTAAATGCCTTAGAAATGTTAACTCATGTAATTTTTATAATGAGGTGATATTATCATCACTCCCATTTTACAGATGAGGGAACGGAGGCACAGAGATTTCATAGCTAGTAAGTTTTCAAGTCAAATTAAAACACAAGCTGTCTGGCTGAGTCTGTGCTCTTGACCATTATGCAATGTTGTCTTTCAGTTGTATGTGAAATTGCTTTCTCCACACTGGTTCTAGATTCTCTTATGCCATTGTGAGAGACTATGAGAGAAAACAGGGTTTTTTTTGCTGTATCATTTTAAAAGGCTGCTCTGGAAACATGGCCTTAAGCACTCCATCCAGATGGAGATTGATCTTTAGATCTCGGAATACAGTTGCAAGTGTGGCCCAGAGTACTTTCAAATTATTTTCCATAGGCATATATACTAGAAAGAGTGCTTTCTGGTTAGAAATGAATATTCCTGATTGCAGAGAATGTGATGACTGCAGTTGATTGGTTATTAGGTTGGTCTCAACCTCCACTCTTTGACTCTCTTCAGGAAAAGTTGGGGAGGAGAACACTGCTCACTTTCATCCTGGGGAGCAAACCAGGAAGCCAGTTACTTAGTTCAGCAAAATGAACATTCAATTGTTCAGTAAACAAACAAACAAACAAAAACTAAAATTATTCATGTGAATCATTCTAGACTATTGACTGGCACTTTTGTTTTCCTAGTTTATTCTAAGAGAGTCTTTTTAAGTTCAATGGAATATTCTGTAAACATTTTTACTCTTGTTTTTAGAATTAAAACTTCTACTTTCAATTATTTTGATAATAGAAAGATCATGTAAAGACTAAATTCCAGTTTTAATCCCCAGAAAAGTAATGACTTTAAGTAAAAGTCAGTTTTTCACTTATAAGCACTGGGCATTAATGCTTTATAACTTATAGGACTGATGTATAAGAGAAAAAATCTTTCACAGTGCCTTTCCCTGAATATTATTCAGTTAGATTATAAATCATTTCTATTTATGAATAGTGATAAAAACCATGAAATTCTTGTATTAACTACTCTGCCTAGGTAATTTAGCTTAAATGGAACATTCACAGGCACCTGTAATCTGTTGTAGCTTTATTCTGACTAACTTTTCTGATTGGCTAGTGGATCCTTAATTATCAGAAGGTAGCCATGCATTCTGAGGGGTTGTTTGGAGGGACTCCAGTCTATGTAGCATTGTTGCACTTGGAGTTGGGAGATGGTGTATGATACACATAGCTTGGGTTTGCAAATCAAAACTGTTAGGAACTCTTATTTTACCCCTTTGGAACACAACTTTGGCACTGTAATACAAGATAGTGGTACAACATGTTTTCCTGTTTATAGACAACCAAACTAGAATATATTATTTATTTTGTAAAGCAAAGGATACATTCATTTGTGTAGCAAACAGCCATTATTGATATGTTTTATAAACAATTTGTTTTATACATCATGAGTTATTTCCTAAATTACCCTTATGATTAATATGCACATCAGGAGCAAATGAAATTTTATGATTTTTTTTTTAATGTTTGTATTTATTTTTGAAGGACAGAGTGAGACAGAGCATGAGTGGGGGAGGAACAGAGAGAGAGGGAGACACAGAATCTGAAGCAGGCTCCAGGCTCTGAGCTGTCAGTACAGAACCGTGAGATCATGACCTGAGCCGAAGTCGGACGCTCAACCGACTGAGCCACCCAGGCGCCCCATGATTTTGTTTTTTAATGAAACGGCTCTCCTAAGAAAATTATTTTTTCGGCAGATATGCCAAAATTTTAGACAAATAATTGGTAGTTGCAATTATAATTTGAAGGATTTACTTTATGTGGAATATGGCACTCTTTAAAAGATACCTACATAGATCAAGATTTTCTTGTGGATTAGTTTGAAGTCTCTTTTATTCCATAAAATTTCTCCCAACCATATTGACTAATACCATCCATCCACTTGTTAAGTGCCAGGTCTTTTTTTTTTAATATTTGTTTATTTTTGGGAGAGTACAAGTGGAGAAGGGATGGGGGATGAGGGGGAACAGAAGATCTGATAGGCTAACATCAGCGAGCCTGATGTGGGACTTGAACTCATGACCTGAGATCATGACCTGAGCTGAAGTTGGATGCTCAACCAACTGAGCCATCCAGATGCCCCATGCTAGATCTTTTAATAGTCTTTCATAGTGCTAACCTGGTACAACACAAGATTGATTGCAGGAATTATGCAATCAAGTTATCAATCCCTTGAAAACAAATATAAAAGGTTACAGGACAAGTTCAGGGCTTTTAACTTTTTTCCTTATAATCTATGCTATTTTCTAAAATTTATTAATTCATGATTATTTTTGAATTTTATGATATTAAAAAACTAGTACATGACACCCTTCTTGCTGAGATCTCCACGATTTTTTTTTTAAGCTGGTGCTTACCATTTGAATTAATAGACAGTTGAAACATGATGATAAAACATTTGTGGAGCTAAGGTAGTAAGATAGGACTTTCAATTAGTATTTTGCTCATAAAATAATTAAAGACGAGTAATATGTTTATAGTGGCCATTTCCTGTAGATTAGGATTTCAAGTGTTACTGGAGTAGTTTTGATTTTGTTTCCCCCAAACATGGTCATAGAATCGTTGCTTTTTTCCCCTATATTTTTGTAGCATTTGTGTCACCTTCTTCTGTCTTTAGCTCCTAACACAGATATTGATTATATTTGAAATGGGACTCTCAAAGGAGTTACTTAAGGAAGGGAATCACTGTGGATTCCAAGTCTTCAACATTGTTTCTGTGAAGGTTTACATTTGTGTTTATTTAGAGTGTAATTTTCTTTTATTGTTTCTGACTCAGTTTAAGATGCTACCAGAACTATTTCAAGATGATGAGAAGGCCATCAGTCCAACCTCAGCCACCTCGTCAGGGCGCACGCCCCTCACCCGCACTCCTGCCAAGCTGACCAAAGGTAGACCAGGCCAGACAGCCAAAGAGCACAAGAAAACAGTGGGGCACCAGGTGAGTTCAGGGAGCTGCCACTGCAGGGCTCCTTCCCCTCAAGCTCAGCTGAAGTCTCAGATCTTCTTCTGTTAGCACCCCAGAGGAGGTGAAGAGAGAGTAGAGCTTTTACTATGAGAACATGTAAAACCCCTCCTGCTCCTCTCCACCCAGGCTTAGACCCATGACTGTTTAAGCCTTTCCCCAAATAATTTTCTCTAGGTCTTCATTCTGGTAGTGCATATCCTCCCTCACAGACCACTGCTGCCTTTTGTTTGTCCTCTGGTTCTTTCCTGTCTGGATTTGTACAGAGCACTGGCTCCCTCAGCGCAGGAGCAGAGGCCTCTCCTTTTTTTTGATGTCCTCGGCTCTGTGGGGGAATAGGAGATATTACTCACATATGTAGTGTCTGGACAAAGCTGGGTGCTCTGGATGGGAAGCCAGTCAGCTTGCTTTCCTGTGTAGGGGACCCTATGCCCAGGTAAAATAAGAAACAGGGACTGAGACA